TATATATATATTCAAAATTTATGGCAGAGGATTAGTAATAAAATAATGTCAAAGCAGTTGTTAGTATACTGACAGGTAAAAGATAAATTATTCATACTTCTCCATCCATAATAATATTACTTGAAAAAATTAAAACAAAGCCAAAAACAAAAGTATGTATCAGCAGTGATGATGGTGATGATGATGATGATATTATGGTCAGAATTATAACAATATTAATTAGCTTATTACCAGATGTTACACCCTTTGCATTAAGAATTCTGATTTCAAAATGAAAACTCGAAGATATTCAAACAAGCTCCCCGCTTTCATTGAGTTAGGGCTTAGACCACCCTTTTGTGCTTTCCGTGGGCATGCATCTAGAAGGTGCAAGCAGCCAGGGCGAAAGAGCTCTTCGTCACGCTCATAAAATAATTGCCTGTAAGTCATTATTGGCCGGTTCGGAGATTTTGGTTCTGAAGTGAAGAGCATAGACAGTTTGGTAATATGACTCCATTGGGCAAAAGAATTATCCAAATTAATATAAAATCGAGTGTACCAAAATTCAAGCGTTTCATAGAGTCAGTTGTTCGAAAGAAACAGTTGTTTTTTTCTCCTCTTTTTCTCAAAATGGCTAAGCATGACGCAGACATTTATCATATAAGCGTGGCGAAATGAGTCCAACGTATAATATATACAACTATTGGGAGCTTTTCTCCAGTGTTTAGACTGGTCCTTGTCAACATTAGCTCTATGTATGACCTATGTGTTTGTGTATGATATATGACCTGAAACGTTCGGGTCACCTTTTCTGTGAACAGCTTTGACATCAGCGACAGCAGGCCAATGTTACGACTTTGGAGCAGTTGGCTGGTAATTTAGCCGCTTGCCAGGTCCAGACGCTATGATGCAATGTATCCACCGTATTATTTTGATGTTCTTTGGTCTGGATCGACTGCTAGTTAGATAAGACTTCGAGGCTTTGGAGGCCCTGTAGGCGACCTCCTTCGTCTTTGTGTATTCATGTCTGTTCCGACTTTTTTCTTGTTCAATTCAGACTACAACTCTGCTTGCAAGAACAAAGGGTAAGTCTGGTGTGTGTGCAGCTTCTTCTCATTTAAAACAAACTTCATGCTCCTGTTTTATTATATACCTTCCATCCTTCTTTTCTTTCTATATTTGTGTGGGTGGTTGGCGGGTGCTCTGGTGAGGTCTGCTCCTTCTTTCCTATCAAACATCTATCGTCCTTATCTCCCCCTCCTTCTTTTTATGTTTGTTACTCTCTTGTAACACCTCTATTCTTCTGGCGCTCATATGACCTTTTGCAGTTGCGAACGCGTAAAATCTCTACTAAAACTAAACAAACTTTCTATATTTGTCCTTCCTTTCTTTGAAAAAAATCCTGTGTCAGGAGAGGAATGCAGTGACAGCAGGCAGGTCTCTGAATAAGTCTCCAGCGCATAATTCAATTCCAGCCGAAACATGGTAGTGACTTGGTCATAAAAATCTGCCCGAGCTATTCAAAATTGTTTGATAATGTACTGTTACCCCAGTAGTTCAAAGACCCAAACAAATTGTGCTTTGTACAAAAACAAAGGTTATCGTCATTGCTGTGACAACCATCGTGGCATTTCACACCTCTGTATTGCTGGCCAAATATTTGCCAGAATTGTTCTGAACCGCTTTCTTGGCCACCTCCCTGCAAATAATTTACTGGCAGAAACTCATTGTAGTTATTGAGGAAAGAGGGGTACAACGGATACATTTTCTCCCCTGTAAAAGCAAGAAAAGGTATTAATGATAATACTAAAAAAATAAATAAAAATGATAATAATAATAATAATAAAAATGATGATGATGATGATGATGATGATGGTGACAACAACAACAACAATAATAATAATAATAACAATAATAATAATAATAATAATAAAAATAATAATAAAAACATTTAATTGATATAGAGGTATTCCTTTATCCCAATTGGTATCATGCTGGACTTCGGAGCGGGTGGCCCTGGTTCGAATCCCCAACAGAGCATTCTGAACTTGGTTGTTTTGACTCCACCCAATTGGCTCGGTCATATATCAGAGATGGACGTTAAATTAGAAGGTCCCGCCTCTTAAATAGCGTTACAGTGTTGAAATGGGTGTTAAACCTATATATATATATAATTTCGCACCCCCCGCATTTAATTTATATAGCTATGTCCACGCGCTACAGCATGCTCTAATATTATGAACTTAACACTATTGTTACCCCAGCAGACGCCCTGAAACACTCACAACATGACAAGAAGATTTGCTGTCTATAGCGGGGTACCCATTCCCATCTGGATGAAATAAAAAAGAACACCTGAGAAGATAAGCGCCTTTCTCACGTAAATAACATCGGCCTCCTGTCAGGATTCGAACCTACGACCTTGCTGCTGAGAGTTAGTAAGTCTAACCACTAGACCACCGACGATACCACCTCTAGAGACGTCTCTGAAAGATTGCTCTACTATTACTATTGAGGTGGATGAGTGGGGCCCCTTGTCTTGATCGATCACGGTAGCGTAAAGCTTTGAGACGTGGCAGCAACGTTTTTTGAAAAATATAAAAATAGAAGTACAGTAGAGAGAGAACCAAAAAAGCAAGATAATCAAGACAGTCAAATCCTGACTTTGACACTGGCTCAACAGATGGCAAGTGCTCTGTTCGTGGAAAATTCTTTTGAACCCCCTCCC